CACTTCCGGTTTAAACAGGAAATCGATGTTCACTTCCGGTTGAATATCTTCCGGTGTAATTTGTATAGGACAAAAAATTTTATGCTGATAGGTAGACAAAGTTATGACAAAAAAACGAAGAAAAAAAAATCCGGAACAGAAGTGAAACTTTGGCCGCCATTTTGATTTTTCTGAAATGATTCGATTTTTATTCGGACATAATGGCTCATCCGATTTAAATGATTTTGGTGTCAAATGAAAGAAGATAAAAAAAAACATGACATTAGGAAGCCGTTTTTCGATTCTCAATTTTGCTTTTTTGCAACATCCGGTTGAATTTTTTCAAAGTTTGAAGGGTCATATCTCGTGATCTTGAACTTTGATGACCTTGACCTTTATAAGGTCAAAGGTCATTGACCTTAGCTATCAGTTAATACTTTGACATTTGACCTCCGACATGTACTTCCGGTTTTATAGCTTTCCGAAAACAGCCAAATTGGCAACTTTGGACTGCTCTAGCACGTGACCTAATTAACCTAGAGGGTTAATTTTTTCGGATTCTTAATGTGCTTTTCATGCTCTTTCAAGTGAATTATAACAATCGTTTTTTATATCAAAATTGAAATTCGTGAATTTTTCAAATTTGAGTTTTTTTTACAATATTTCTGTTTCTTAGAGCTTGGTGTGTATATATCTTATGACCTATTTTATGTAGAACATTGAAACTTGGAACACAACAAGACAATTTGAATATGAATTAACCTATGACAAAAAAGTTGAGGTGGGCGTGGCACATCCGGGTGGAATTACTAATTGTTTACATTTTGGGAAAGGGGCATAACTCGCATAGGATACATTTGTTCAAAAAGGAACTTTGCACACAATTACCTCATTATTTTGGCCAGTTTGTGTTAATAGGTCAATTGTTTCAGCTTTATAGTTCCAAAAAAGGAACGGGTTTTGAAATTTCCATATTTTCAATTTTCTATTTTGACCTTTATTGACTCTTGTTGACCTATATCTTTTGACCTGTATGATGTAGAAGCTTTAAATTTGGGATACTACATAACATTCAGAATATCAATTAACCTATGCAAAAGAAATTGAGGTGGGCGTAGCACATCCGGGTTAAATTACTCATTATTGACAATTTTGACAAGGGACTTAACTCGCAACGTATACATTTGTTCAAAATGGAACTTTGCATACAATTACTTCATCCGTTGAGCCACGTTGTCTTAGAAGTTCGATTGTTTCAGCTTTATAGTTCAAAAAAAGGAACAGGTTTTGAAAATTCAAAATTTTCAATTTTTGACCTTGACATTTTTTGACCCTGATTTTTGTAGGATCAAAGGTCATTCAAATTGGTTATCTATTTATACTTTTATATTTGCTGTCCTATCTCAACTTCCGGTTTTATAGCCGTATATATTTAAAAATTTTGATGACTTGTATCTCGTAACCTTGACCTTTGTTGACCCTCTCCCTTTCAATGTTAAATGTCATTGACCTTGGCTATCTTCTGATACTTTCATTTGTGAGGTCTGTCTACTTCCGTTATAGCAATCTTCCAAAGAATTCTTCTCAACTTTAGACTGCTCTTGCGCGTGATGTAATTATCGTAGAAGGTTGATTTTTTCAGAGTCTTTTGCAATTTGCTACATTTGCAAAGTCCCACTCTGTGCCACGTGTGGCTCTAGTTATTTTTGTTATCACAATATAAAACAATATAAAAATGTATAATGTATATAATTATTATATGTAATATCTCTTGACTTTTAGATAGTATGTTACTTCTCATCATATACTGTTTGATAATTCTTATTATCATAACCTGTACTGTATGGTGGTGGTGGATCATTATTAGCTCGATCCAACTGAGACTGCAAATTGGCTACTCTCCGTTCAAGTTGGTTAACCCTATCGCGTTGATTGGTGAATCCAAATATTCTTGCATATAAACAAAATAACACCAATCCCCAGATACTAGATATCGCAATCAGTAAGAATGATATACAGTTAATGATATTGAATGTCATTATTAGTTCATGGTTGGGCTCACATGCACCAATATTTTGAGGTGTATTTTGGTTGCTACAAATTGCTATTGCCCATCCAGCAAATGTACAAGCTGTAAATGCTATTGATACATTAGTTACACAGAAAACATAATGTGTTATAACCTGAAAAACATGATAATAGATCTATCATAATTTTAAATCAGTTCCTAAACAATGGTTAATTGATTTCTTACAATAAATCACAAGTTACCTGTAATTGTTATGTGTAATATATCTTCTAACTTACACGATTAGATATTCTCAAACAATAAAAGAAAGTGGTATAGACTGATTATCAGCACAGTTCCACAGAGTACCTAGGCAGCCACATTTTCCACTCACCCAAACTTTTGCACGATGTAATTATCAGCTTTAGCCAAAGACCCCACCCGAAGTTATTTATTTAATGATTTAATCAATGCTCATCAAAAATGTCAAAAATATCAACACTTTTAGACAAAAAAAAAACCCAACAAAACATCTGATTAATTTTACTTACATAGCATTTAGTTGAGCGTTTAACTTCGGTTTCAGGTTTACAAATGGAAACTTTATAGGCAAAATAGCCAGACAACAAAGCCTATAAGGACAAAATTAAAAAATAAATATATTATTAGTTGAGACCCCCCCATCTTTTTTCATTTCGTTATTTATCGAAGGCGAAGTATTATAAAAAAAACTTTTTCATAGAAAAGACATGTAGCTGAACTATGGTCAATATTTTTTTGTCAATTGAAGAAACAAAAATTGATAAAGTTAAGATTAAATTCCTAGTAAACATTTCAACCAGTAAAATAACGAGGAGAAAAATTACCCACCAAGATAGCTGTAAGTAGAGGCATTCCATCAACTATTGGATAAGTGACTTTTATGGCCATAGCACCTACAACTAGGGCTCCAATACTTGATATAAGGGTAATAACTCCCAATCCGCATTGAACTATCGCTATTTTTCTCATTGAACTGAAGGCCTGACCTTGTCTTCCCACTGCTTCAGGGGTTCCATATGCTATAAAATAATCAAGAAACACGAATAGAGATAGTTATTATTGCACAATGACGTCTATGACAACAAATATGATACATATAAATTTGTCTTTACATAGAAAAGATGGTTTTTGGTGGAAAGAATTAAAATCACTTTATTTTTATAGGATTTATAACCTAGATTCATGATAGACAAGTATCGATCTACCTGGGCCAGTTTGTGGTGTATTGACATTAACTCTACAACAACCAACGTCATCTTCCATTTTTTTTTCTAGTAGATAAATAAATTAACCAGGACAAATATTCATATCACATTAATCACCAAAAATAATATCCTTTCCGTCATATAAAACACATTCCTTTTTCCTAGATTTAATAAAAATAAGTTTCCTAGGTTAAAAATATAAAATTATGACCAATCATATGATACAAAGTAGGTTATCATATTTGACATCACTATACTACGGAGCCCCTTAGGCGCAATTGTAAACATATTTATTTATTATTTCTTTTAAACGAAATAACATCATTTATTTCGTTTAAAAGAAATAATTATTTCGATTAAACGAATTAATTATTTCGTTTAAACGAATTAATTATTTCGTTAAAACGAAATGTTATTTCGTTTAAACGAAATAAATTATTATTTCGTTAAAACATTGTGCAAAGTTGTTTAGTAGATCATATTTGTATAACGGCCTTCAAGTCCACCAAGGAAAAGGTCTTAAATTTAAAGAAACTATCAAGAGAAAATAAAATTTAACTATTATTAACATAACCTAATAAATAGTTGAAATAGTTCACGTGACGATGGTCTTACCTTCATTGATCTTTTTAATATCCTAAAAACTGTACAGCATAAATACTCATTTACAAGGTATAAAACATCTTGTACACACGCCTAACAAGATAATTTATACAACCATAAAATTGCGAAATTTCTTGGAAATAAAGAATTATAAATAGCATGTTTAAGGATTTAAAAGACCTGTGTTTACTGACCTACTTTAACTCAGGTATATATACCACAACAGACTGGCCATAGTATAAAGAATGTAGATCATGATCACAATAGACGAACTCTACCCGATAAAATAAGCTCTTAATGCCGTTATACGTTATCGATCATATTTCTGGTACAGTTTGAAATGCACGTATTAATAAAAAAAAATGTAAATTATGTCGGTCATCTTATTTTATTCTAAAGCAGCCTATTTAGACCTACTTCTCAGACCTAATGTTCCTTTCACTACAACAACCTTATCGTCGTGTAGATGTCTCAATTGATTAGCTATGCTCGAAAATATTTTTCAAAATTTCATAGTTGACATCATGGCATCATTGACAAATACAAAATATCTGCATCACATCAGATTTTCTAGTTATAGGCCTCCTAATAACAGTTATGCAGTTCTGAATTATTTACATTTTCGCATTGGTTTAGGCTACTATCGAAATAATATAAAAACACCTAGACAACATTGCTACATTGGTGCGCAAAGCACGGAAAATGATACTCATCATCACCAAAATCCACAGGGATATAAAAAGTACACACAACCCTTGGTCAAACTTTTACATGCTGTTCATTACTAATATCATGGTGGGAGAGTTCGTACAAAGGATGAACCTCATTAAAAATCAGAAAAGAAATTTAACATGAATTATTGCCCTTGTTCCCTTTAATATTTAGCTCTAAACACTCTACAAGACACAATTCTTGGCGAGTTTTGACGAAACTTAGTGTGACCTTTTGTAATCACCCAAGGATGATCCTTTTGAAAACAGAAAACATTTTTCGATTTTTTATTGAAAATAAAAAAATAAAAAAACTATTCTAGTTTTTGACCTTGTTCTTGAAAAACCATTCAATTTTTCGCTCGTAAAGACTTACACAGGCTCGATTCTTGCCAAAATTTGCAAAAAACTTGGTATCATCCCCAACAGAAGTGTATGATTGAAGGCTGAATATATCATACTGTACTGTCTAAGATTTTATTATTTAAAATCAAAACTACCAGTGAGTGTATATTATCAAGCTATAATCCTGATATATTTTAGTCCCTTTTGTGCATCTCAAAATCTTTAAAAAGTTAACATCAAAACAAAACTCTAATAGAACCATTTTTGTTTCAGAATAAAATATTCTTTCGTTTTAACCATGAAATAGATAAATTTCCATATTATTACAAGATATTTCCCAAGAGATGTAAATTTACATTGTCAACTCACAAAATAATTTAGTCGTAATAAATTGCTTTGTTCTTCATAGGCTCATATAGGAACAATTTAACAAGAATTGTAATTTGTTGAGTGAACTCGAGGCGGTACACAACAAATTTTCAATGCTTTAAATCAGGCATCTCGAAAATCGTTGGTAGCCTACAAGGGCTGAATACTGAAAATTGATGAAAAATAGTCATTTTTATGTTTGATCTGGCAACGAATGAAAGATTCTATTAATCACACAACTATCAATAAACGAATATTTTCCTTAAATTCTTTTAATAAATAGAGGGTTTGTAGGTTAGCCTTCTTACACCTTTGTACAAAATGTTCTTGTACGTAGCAAAACTATCTTGGTAAAAACAATGATGTGATTACTAAATTGAAATAAAAATTCTGTCAATTTGACAATTTCATGCCCTTCATCTTCAATTCTAACACAGTCATCGACTTTAAAGTATGCCATGCTTATCTGTTTACATGGTGGATGAATACATGATCTAATTTGCAGAGTTACTATAGGTCTACTATTACTTATAAGAATATATTTCACGAATAATCCTAGTTTTGATTTTACCTCCTCTAACAAAGTCAAGCTTGTTTAGATTCAAGGTTGTTTGGTTTGACTGTGAGTGGTAATAATCTATGTTGATAGTTCCATGTCTGAATATGGCGGTTGAAAGTAGTATGGCGATCAATTATTTTTTAATAATTAAATTTAGACAAATTACGGCATGATAGCATCAATACAATTTGTATAGCTTACGAATTGTCTTGCGGGAGCCTCATTTCCGGTGACGTCTTTCTGAAATTGCAGGAACAACAGGTATTGAACAAGCAATTTGTTCTCTTTTATCCGTCGGTCCGTCCACAATTGTTCTAGGAGACACAATTCTTGACGGATTTAAACGAACTTGGTGTATCTGTTTATTATCACCAAAAGATGAACCCTATTGAAATCTAAAAAAAATTCCAAAAATATTTAATATGTGTTATTGCCTATAGATTCTCTTGAAAACGCATTCAAATTTGTTTATTATCATGCACTAAAAAAAAAAACAGTTGAAAGAAATTTATATCTAAAGATTGAATATTTCTTACTGGCGATTTTTTGATTTGAAAAGATGAGTACATTCGAAATTCTGTTACCAGTTTTGGATTAACTTGTTGTTTTGTTTGTTGTTTTGATGCGGACATTTCTGATTTTCACCCGGCGGTTCTCACGACCAAACCGGAAGCGATTAAATTCTTTGATGAAGCGGTTTCATTTGTATTGTGCTTTCTCGAGTTTAAATGTTTGGTCCTACCAGAAATGTCTTAAACAAAAGCAGTTCGAAAACAGTCGTCCTTCTGCTTGATTGTTGTATTTTGTAAACTAGGCGAGTTATTGAACGGTTGGTGTTTCATGACCAAATAGTTATCATTAATGACTACTTCTAATTTCCTTGAAAGGTCAGAGTGATTAATTTACTTATTATTGTCGTATAAATAGCCTACTGATTGCCAAGTTTATTCTGTTTTGTGACTAGGGACCTGTCATTGCAATCTGGTACTCGACAGCCATCATCAGAGAATATTCCATTACCATACACAATATTCACACTATTATATCGGCAATTTGATTAGTGGACGGATGTAACGCCATTATAGTAGGTTTTAGTGTTTTACTCGTATCTAATTTGAAAAGAATATAAAGGACATTTACAATAATAGATCCGTAAACTGCATGATTTCACACAATACATTAGGTTTTACTTGACACAGTTCTCTGACTTCCAAACAATGAAGAAAAGAGCCACACGGACTTGAATGATACTGCTGATTGAAATACAATAAAAACGAATGTGTCTTTGCATTATTTTGAATCTGAATCCGAATTAATCCGTTAAGGAAGTATTTAAGAAACACCATGCTTCTTAAACTTCTTATAACTACAATTTCATTAAGTTCTTCTTTCGTGTTATTTCGTGACAACCAAAGGGATTCTGATCCAAATTTGAGTGCTCTCAGACAATGTACAGAGTGTAAACATCGGGAACAAAAACCATTATTGGTAAAACCAAACTGCGTGGAATGTTACTGTGATTTGGACTGTATAAAATATGGGGATTGCTGTATAGATATACTGATAGACAATAATTTACATACCAAACAAATTGATCCTGGTCTAAACTGTGTTAGCCCTGAATCGTCTGACGATATTGGGCTACTACATGTAAACACAGATCAGAACGGATATTATATGAGAAATTATTACTTCAAGTCTGAGGCTGTCAAGGCGTTTTGTGACTCTCGATTTTTTCCAGTCTCGTGTGCTGATGGTGTATCGTATGTAAATATGGAATGTGCCCTAATGAACAAGGCTAAAGACTGTACTCACTGGACTATAGAATCAGAATGTAAGGATTTGGTTTTGAATATTTCATGTAAATATTACCATGTACCACCAGTGTTTGTAGAATTACGATTGTGCGATGTTCGCAGATCTCTCGATATAATATCAACGTGCAGAAAGAAAAAGAATGAATTGACCAGACTGTGTGAAAAGTATTTCAGTTTAGTATACGGAGAGAATGGTAGGGTCTACAGAAACTATTTTTGTTATAGATGTAATATCGACGATGTAGCTTTAGTTCTCAGTCAATCAGTGAATCCTTTTATAAGTTTGACCGATTTTTCTGATACATTCAATAAAGCTGTAACCCCATGTGACGGTGAAACAGCTTGGATGGACATGTATGCAGTGAGTATTTTAAATTTTCAATTCTTTATTTTGCAACGAATTTTTAAGTTAACTTTGAGCATTGCACGATAACTATAGGTAGGTACCAAGATACCGGTTTACGAAAGACCTACTCCATTTCATTTTTGAAGGTTTAAAAGTGACAAAAATGTAACTGGAACATTTATACCGAAAATGAATTTAAAGGTTTATTGTCTATTATGACATTTCCACATTTTGTAATCAATTTCAGAATAAGTGCAGACCAGTAAAATGTTACAGCGAGAAAGTCTTGGAAAATGGATATTGTTTGAGTAACAACAGAACAGCTCTTGGTAATAAATACCAACTTTTAGTCCAGTTGAATATGACAACACGCCATCCAATACCTATTATTAGACAGATGATTGGTCATATGATGTATACGACATCAGAAAACATGTGTTCCTCAGATTATGATATTGCAGAATCAGTCCAGATATCGGAATCTACCCATTCTTTACTGTATCTTCACATATGGCTAGAAATAAATCAAGACATTCTAATAGATGATATAGAAGAAACACTTGCAAATTTAAATAGTGGAACATTTTGGAGATTTTCTTATTTGCATGTGTCTTTCAAAGTGATTCTCCATAAACTTCAGTATTCCGAAAAAACAGATAAATACCTTAGACCGGATCAAAATACTGGTTTATGTTGTAAAGAAGAAGTAAAGTTGCAGGTTTACAATAAATTAGAATATGAACCAGTATCCAATCAACTGTGGTGTTCGTATATAAAATTTGACCAATCAGAATTTATTGTTCAAGGAGATGCTGTCGTCCCCCATTTAAATTTAACTCTCAGTCTAAAAAATGGCGAGTTTTCGATATTCAAAAATAAACTGTCGGTATGTTTCGAGTTGTTTCTCTTGAAAACAAATCTGTCACGAACCAATGGAACGTATTACGTTTCTAATGAAACTGGTAGTTTTGATGTAATATTATGGTATGTAACTATTGTATGTATTTCACTCTCTATGTTCTCACTCGTACTTGTTATTATTACTTATCTTGTATTTGGCGAAATGAGATCACAACCAGGAATAAACAATCTGATCCTTTGCTGCAACCTTTTCCTAGCACAGCTCATATTAATGGTTGGATTTGATAAAACTAATCAAGTAACATTATGTAAAGCTATAGGCATAACTACTCATTTCTTGTGGCTAAGTATGCTGTTTTGGATGAATATCTGTTCTTATCATATGCTCAAAGTTTTTGTTTTTAGTAAATTTGTCATTCACTCATCAAACGGAATTGCCAAACAAAGTATAATCTATTCTATATATGGTTATGGTACACCGATTCTGATAATTATAACAACTATTGTAGCTAACGTTATACCCACGTCTGGTCACAATGTGGGATATGGCGGTAATATTTGTTATTTATCAAGTAAAGTATTAGTTCTGTTTTCATTTGTCATTCCTTTATGTTTTGTTATTTTGAGTAATGTTATTTCCTTTATTTGGACTGTTATTTCCATTCAACGTGTGAAGCAAGTTGGTAAGCAAACCGGCGAAAGAAACAATGTGTATATATATCTTAAACTATCAGTAGTTACGGGGGTGTTTTGGACTATATCTTTATTGTCGAACTTTGTTAATGCTATTGTTTTAGACTATATATCTGTCATTTTGAATGGGTCGCAGGGGGTCTTTTTACTCTGGTCGTTTGTTTTAAATAGATCAGTGTGGAACAAATGGAAAAAGAAATGTGGAAAATCTGTACCAGCCGATTCATTCACCAAGATTACATTAAAAAACACAACAACTTCAGAAATTTAACATGCAATCTGTTAATTAACATTTGGTGGCCCAATCGAAATCCATTTCTGCTGGCTAATATTAATTAAATAAATATCTATATGTGTAGAACAATTTCTTATCCCACGATCTGTATTCTTTCCTTTATATCGATCAATAGGTACGGGTCTGTTATTTCTAATAGCACGTAGAATCGTCTGGCATGGGTTAATAGGCTAGAAGTTAAACGTTAAAAAATCCATTGGACAAGGTCTCGTGCCACGCTTAGAAACTGTTGTCAGTTTTGGTAATATAATTAGTTTTTATACACCCACATGAATATGTCGGTCCGTCCGTCAACATTTCTTGTGAGCACTATAGAGACTACAGTTTTTATCTGATTTTGATAAAACTTGGTGTGATACTTTAGATGGATAAGATCTCGGTCAAGTTCGAATTTGACATATTTTCGATGAACGGTTTTTGAGATATTGCCCTTGACTTAGAACGCCTTGAAATTTGTTAAAAATTGTTCGTGAGCAGGATTGAAGCTACAGTTTTCAACCGATTCTGATGAAACTTGGTGTGATCATTGGAATTGATAAGATCTCGGACAAGTTCTAACTTGACGCATTTTCGATGAATGGTTTTTGAGTTATTGCCCTTGACTTTGTTAAAACGTGTTGAAATTTGTTAAAAACAGTTCGTGAGCAGGATTGAAACTACAGTTTTCAACCGATTCTGATGAAACTTGGTGTGATCATTGGAATTGATAAGATCTCGGACAAGTTCTAATTTGACGCATTTTTGATGAACGGTTTTTGAGTTATTGCCCTTGACTTTGTTAAAACGTGTTGAAATTTGTTAAAAATAGTTTGTGAGTAGGATTGACGCTACAGTTTTCAGCCGATTCTGATGAAACTTGGTGTGATCATTGGAATTGATATGATCTCCGACAAGTTCTAATTTGACGCATTTTCAATGAACGGTTTTTGAGTTATTGCCCTTGACTTTGTAAAAACGCGTCGAAATTTGTTAAAAATAGTTGGCGAGCAGGATTGACGCTACAGTTTTCAACCGATTCTGATGAAACTTATGATCATTGGAATTGATAAGATCTCGGACAAGTTCTAACTTGATGCATTTTTGATGAACGGTTTTTGAGTTATTACCCTTGACTTTGTAAAAACGCGTCAAAATTTGTTCGTGAGCACAATAGAAGCTACAGTTTTCAACCGATTCTGATGAAACTTGGTGTGATCATTGAAATTTATAAGATCTCGGACAAGTTCTAACTTGACGCATTTTTGATGAAATGTTTTTGAGTTATTGCCATTAACTTAGGAAATACGCGTCAAAATTTGTTTGTGAGCACAATAGAAGCTACAGTTTTCAACCGATTCTGATGAAACTTGGTGTGATCATTGGAATTGATAAGATCTCGTACAAGTTCTAACTTGACGCATTTTTGATGAAATGTTTTTGAGTTATTGCCATTAACTTAGGAAATACGCGTCAAAATTTGTTTGTGAGCACAATAGAAGCTACAGTTTTCAACCGATTTTGATGAAACTTGGAGTGATCATTCGAATTGATAAGATAAATTCTAACATGATATATTTTTGATGAACATTTTTTGAGTTATTGCCATTGACTTTGATTTAATTGTTTGTTGTATTTGGGTTATTGATATTGATTTTAAAAAATTTTGTGGAATTACTCAGCATAAATAATTTCTTCAATATGAGAAAATTCGTACTTTAGTCACTAAAGACTGTATCATTTCTGCCAGCTGCCAGTGGGCGTATGTCCTTGCATCGCAAGCTATCTTTAATTTATATTGAAATAATTGATGATCTAACTGTATTAAAGACTTGAGATTGTTTATTATAGATTGTATTTAAATTGATAGATATAGTAATAAACCAATACAACTATTAACTTTCACTTATATTTTACTGGATTTAAAATGTTTCGATAGATTAGCAAGAATAGCACTTGGTTTGAGAATTGGTCAGTATCAAAGATCCATTGGGACAATGAATGGTATGAAAAACTAATAAAACCGATTGGCCAACTGAAAATCCAAGAAAGTGTCCAATGTTCGTATTTTGCTTAAAAGTATTTGTAGTTGCCCGATTTGCATGATGTGCATCACTTCATGCGAATTTTTATGTTTTCAAGTTGATCAACAGATATTTTTCTCACTTTGTATATTGATATAATGGCTGTGTGGCTATGGAAGACTTAACAGCCCAAATATTAAGACGTCTTAATCCTTAATACTTAGTCCGTAATGCTTAATTCCTACTGCTTCATTTTGTTGGTCATTTTTGACATTTCTTCTTTTAGATCATAAAAATCAAAATTCGTTCTTTTTTCAAGTAAAAATTGTAAAGCTTAATTAAAAAACACAAGTGTCTCGTTACATTAAATCAAATACAAATAAAATCATTCCCAGCAAATATTGCTTAATATTTCAACAAATAAATTTCTAATGTATCATGTATTTGGTGAAATGTTGGTGAACTAATGATCATTTTGTAAAATAAATCTCGAAAATGACCAACAAATGAAGCAGTAGAGATTAAGACGCCTTAATATTGGTCTGTTCGATCTTCCATATATGGCGATAATTCGGTAATACCTTCGACGCTATGGCTATTTGAAGATTTCTCTTGGCTTGCTGGTCTCTATAGGACAAATTTTAATGGAGTTTTACGTCTTACTGTTCTAGATATCGTGTACATAGTAATCATTAGCGCACTCCAGTTATTGATATTCTTTAAATTTTAGGTGTAAGAAGGGCTAATTAATCAAATAATATATATATATATATATTTTTCTTTGTGTATTTTTGCTTTTACATAATAAATAAAAGGAGAGAAATATTTCTTTGCTTGATTAAGTTAAATGGGACTTATGGCTTTGAAAGTGGGTCGCAACTCTCGTTTCAGACCACAGCAAAATAAACTACATTGCATATTCTAGATGTTAGGATTATTCAGGTGAACGTCAAATAGAGGGAGCTTCGTTAACCAAGTATTATGTAGCCTATTTGAGTTTCCATTTGGCGAGTCATCGATTCTTCTGCTTTGTATATCGTCTTCACTCCAGAAGGGCGGGGTGGTTTTGTGACGTCGACTTTGCGACTTAATAAGAGTTTTGTCCATGACTGCGACGAATTCGATGATATGCTTTCAATCGCCAGTCGATCCGAGCCCACCTTCTCAAAAACAAAAGATAAATCGAATCTGAATAGTGGTACGAGTACTTCAAATTCTACCTCAATCCAACCAAATATCCCAGTAATTCACATTTCACTAAGCATTCAGAGCAACACAAACAACCAGGTGGTATTTATAGGTGATCGGTATCGATCTTGGAACATCATGTTATTTTGAATAACACTTCTTACAATAATAGACTTCATTACGCCACAAATTCCTTTTGATTCGTTCGTATAATAGAATTTAATATTTAGGTGTATTTTTGTGTTGTCTGGTTGTGAGACCCATGATTAAATTTTTGAAACAAAAACTATGGCTTAGGCAAGCTTCATATTGATGAACTATATGAATATTCATTCTTCTTGTCCTGTATTTCTACCCGATACAATATAATGCATTCAACTGGACAAAAAGATTTTATTTGTACAAAACTGTTCTTCTACGTAATGGTGTAAGGATAATTTCAAAATATGAAAGTTAAACAGATGAGTATAATATGTAACAATAGGCCTATAATAACTTATGAGGTAAAGTAAATAATTAATGTTCAAGAATTCTCTGAAATAATTATTTCATGTTGTGAGTATAAAGGTTTAGATGGGATTTTGTTTATATGATGGTGAGACCCGTTTATTGTCTTAATATATCCTGGTAACTCACAATTGCAAGCCCCATATATATTATATCTACGTGGTCAAATATGGATGCCAGATATATAACGCACTATATCATTAATTCAATACTTGACTGGCTTTCGTTGTCTATGTCAGTTACAGCACAATTACTAGAGCTAAATGTTTCGGTGGGTAAAGCACTATCTCCAGATTCACTACAAGCATACCAAGGAGCATTGGGGTTATCGCCCTTATCCCGTCTCACGTCGAATACTTTCTTGGGGTGTGTTAATATGTCGTCTCTAAATGCAACGTTTTCATAAACTGCCGATAATTTAACAGGCGATTTCATTTCCATGTAGACATTGTCATCATTCACATATTGCACATGTCTCGTAATTTTCTTTCTTTTCTCTCCTGTTAATCTGTTTATATTTGCACTTTTATCCTTCTCTGATCTAGCGTCAACATCGTTCAAGTTTATTTGAATTTTACGAGGTTTGATTGTCGTGGTTTTACCTTTCTTACGAACTGGACGTCGATATGAACATGAATCTGTGTCGCTTTCGGTTTGAGGTCTGTATTTTTGTCTGGTGATTTTAGTGACAGGAAGTCGTGACCATTCCAGATTCCTACCTTGAATAGCATTTCCATCGTCCAAATACCAATTGTGTGAATCTTTTCTCAAAAGCGAATTGCACTGATCAGGAGATAATGGTGTCCGTCTTGCGTTCTGAATTTTGCCATCTATTCCTTCCCAGCTGTCGGTTAATAATGTCTTCGGTACTTGATTTTCCCAATTTTGCGAAAGAGAGTCAGTATCACTACCAGTACTTGAAAACCTATCACGGCCAATACTATGTGAGTCACTGCTATATTCAGACCACGAGTCACAATGAAAATGATACTGTTGGTCCATGTATCGCCGGTGAACGTAGGTTCCAGAGGATATAAAACTGATAACGGAGCGTCTTTCCTCTTCGGACATTGTCTCTAAGTTTCGGACGTCAAAATTTGGATTTGATAAGGCTGTGCTGATCGTTGAATTTCTATCTCCGGGTACAGATGATTCCGCAAATGAGTCTTGTAGAAGATTTTTGAAATACTGATCTTGAATTAGACGCTGGTCATACTGACTTAACCAACCCGTATTGAAAGGCCTTTGGTGTTCTTTATTATGCTTAACACAAACACTAAGTTTACAATTGATACATTCCTCACTGTCAGATGCTCCGTATTTAACATCATTACTTACATCAGAGCAATGAACATGAAAAAATTTGTAATAAATACACATTGCTACAACACTGACGAAAAATGAACTTGCGGTGATAAATATCAATAAATATTTGTAACCTGTTTGAACATCAGGTACCATAAACATCCACACAGCACACAACGTTGCATTTTCAAAGAACATTATGATATAGAATAATGTGTATCGGAAGGCTGCATTGTCTCTATTGATGTTCACGAAACAGAAAATATAGACATAAGCTGCAACCATCCCTTTTATAATTCGATAAAATCCAGTTCCACTGACACTTGAAATAACAGAAGTACACACACACAAGCACATTGTAATCCAATGGAATGATATGACAAGAAAAATCCAATATTTGTAAAGTGAAGCAAACAAAGCTAATGATATAATTCGAGAACCTAGTTCACTTATCCTCCAGACAAGACGAAACACAGATCCAGGCCAAGTAATGACTAACATATCTGATTCACATGTTTTATATTTTCTTCTGTAACTAGCTACAGCCCAGGCAGACGAGAATAATGTTACACTAATAGAAACGCAAAACATCCACGATCTGGATATCGGAGACTCATTAAGAAATAAATATGTATGTATAAGTAACAAGGGCAATCCTGAAGTTAGAGCATACATAAATCTCAACAGAAATAACTCAGATAAACTTTTCTTTTTCATAACTACGAAATGTTCTTTTAAGATCGAAATGTGGCGCCAACAGAATCCTAATTGAACCACATGTATAAAAGTCATTAATGCATGACGCCATAACGTTGTGGAATCACCTTGTCGTTGAAGATAAAAGATGGCGGATGCTAGTTGAACACTGACTAATGGAATTATGATCAATCCAGTTGTTAGACTGAACCAGACACGACCACCACCTATATTCCAAAGGGTATAGGCAAAATAGATATTGAAACCTAGTTCTGTTATATGGGATAATAATGATAATAGTATATATGCGTTGAAACACGATCTAGAACACAATTTCCCCATCTTTATGACTATCGAACATTCCTTATCCGTTTCATTTATTTCCTTATGAGCATTTTTTCACTAAAATATTTTCCATCATTCCAGCTTGTTTGTCGAAATAATCATTGTTTTCATACCAACATACGTCATCAAATGAAGCAGTGTGCACTGAAATACTATTCACTTGTTTAAAAGGTTAATGTGTCCAAGGCAATATATTAAAAGTCACCACAGGACATTCTATATAACCCCTTAGTATTTAACTTGTCACCTGTTGAAATATGAGAGGAAAGGTATTTTTCTGTGACTGTGTTTCACTATTTAAACCAGTCAAATAAAGACTGGTCGTAGTGTATTGAAAGAACACGTTGTAAAATGATTGTGTCTTATAGATGGTGGTTTAAGATAAACATGACCACACAGTTAACACAATTTTATTTTATTCTTTGTATTTATTCTTTTGTCTATTCGCCAGCTTTGGTCAGATATGATATTTCATTACTCCAAGGTAACCAATTCATCGATCAACTGCAAAACAAAGATGGAATAGTGTGAATAGCAACCATTATTAGGTCAAAGTTTTATTGCTCGAAGAAGAATCTTTTAATTTTAATAAAAAAAAAATTGTGTTAACCATACCTCTCCTCACTTTTAAAATAATATAATGTCTACCACCGGGAATATATTATCTAGTCTCACGACTAGTATAACAGTTGACCTGCAAGTTCCCCGAAAACAAAGAACATATTGCTTAGTGTAACAACTAGTGCAAGGTATGTCTATTATACATTGACAAGTAAACTACTTATATCATCATACATGTCAATCAATCAATTTTTATACTTTGATGTTCTCCGTTCCACTTCAATAATCTTGAATAGAAACTAAAAGGCTTTAAAAATATAACTACGAACACGAAAGCGATGCGACTCACTTAAATAACACGAAAAATATTCCCACACCTTGAATAAGGAAACTAATGACGATATAGAAAGAGATAATATCATAACCAAACTATCACAAAATATATTTCTTAAATTCTAGGTATTGCCGTAAGTCAGAACACCTCAATTTCAACATTTACATTAGGTATATATATTTCAACTAGAGAAAGCTTGTTATCTGATAAGGTCATAATCTATATTGCCATTAGCGAGCTTTCATTTATAATAAGGGATATTATGTTAATTAGATATATTCATTAACATATCACATGATAAATCTGTTATCTTTCATTATCTCATTAAAGATATAATACAATTTAAATATTGTCTGATGGTTATTATAATGAATACCAAAGATAAATGGACAATGCCTATTATCCATTTATTTGGTGGCAATCGTCAGAAAGACTCTCACGACGATACGACGATACGACCTTAGATAAGCACACTCACAAAATATACCAATAGATACTTATTTTATAAGTGTAAATGGATATCACTGAGATTCAATTTGTGCTGCCTTTCTAACTTTTCGTGTCCCACAAGCTAGTATCCATAATCTTGTAAACTCGATCTCCTCTATTTAAAGACACCCTCACCTATTTTTGTTTTGAAGTGTTGAACGTAGAGCGATGAACCTTGTAAAAAGAAAACAATGTTTACATCCCAACACTTTCAACTCTCCTTACCCTACTTTACTATTGTGTGAACTTTCTTAAAATCTCCATAGTGTCAATAGGGAGTTAAAGTGTCGTAAAGGATATGTAATTTAATTGTTAAAAGACTTGGGGAGATTTGAATTATGTTATTTTTCCCCTTTTTTAAAAATGTAAATCGCAAATACGTAGCCTATATTGAAAAACCTTAATAACATCCTTTTGGAAGATTTCTCATTGAAGAAAATATAACTTTCATACATGACAGATCTTTAAATTCATAGCTTTTACTATTAGTGTCATAAGAGTGATAATAAAAGTATGAGAATATTTCATATTAGGATATTTGTCAGAGTTGACTAATTTCGAATGAATATATTTGAATACTCCTTTATATTATGAGTTTACTTGTTGAAAATATATAATTCATTTTCACGATGAAAACCATCTATTTACTTCATGCATATTATATTTTTCTAGCTCTCTTCATTCTGTTACTTTTCTTATATATCTTATTTACAAACAAAATGCATATTGAATTAAATGACTATCGCAACAAATGAGATAAGCAAATATCAAATATTGTAAATTGAAATATAATACATGTATATGTCTAAGTATGTTTAAGGAAAATAGCAAACATTTAAAGTAAAGTTTACATAAAGTTCATATCATATGTCCAAGGAGGTTTCCCACGAATAATAATCGCATATACTGTATACATGAACTACAAATTTAGAAGCTAAAGAAAGAGTAATTTAGAAGCTATTTAATATACCAGTTCGGTCTCGTTATTTTTTCGCAAAGAAGATGTTGAATATTTTTCCGTCAAAACGGCCCCTTTGTTCTTTAAATCATTTAAAAAAAATTTACGTTACATCATAATTTTGTTGAGTTCATTCGTGCATAGGTTTCGAAAACGCCCTCGAATATACCCTCAAATGATGCACGTCGAGGGGCTAAAATGTGCGTGGTCGTTTAAATGGGACAATAGACCAAGGTCCCGTATACTATAAAATGTGTTATTAGCTTCGTCAATGGATTTCGACCATTTGCAATCATACGGCGATTAAAAAATGTACTAGGTCGTCTAGCAGACAAACGTAAAATTACAGATTCGTAAACTTTCGTCCACATTCCTCGACCTATGTGACCATATTGCGTTCCCACGGCGCTCTCGCCACGACTATTACGAACTAAGCACGATCTTATTTCTAACCGTGGGCTTGGTAGGAGCGTTCTGGCGTAAGCTAAGTGCAGCTGGAATAAGAGGAGACTTACTAAACTGGTTCACCTTATACCACTTTTCATTATGAAATACTTCCACACTTATGATTGATTTACTTCCCCATATGAAAAGTTCATTAGCTACTATTAATGTTTCGCCAATGTTGTTTGGATTTCGGCTTTGGTTTTGCAGTGCGGATCGTTAGTACTGTACACGGTTTATTTATGGTGCAAGACCGATTACACTGCTGTTGATGACATATGAGCAGCAGATTTGCATGTCACTTGATTATACGATGAACTAATTCTCTCGAGAAGCCGTTACACCGGCTTGGGCACCGGCAATCGTGAAGTAAAAAGCAGAAGTCCTATAAAATTAAAAAACTTCACACCAGTCGCTATCAACCTGCGACATATGCGAACATATTGTGTTCTGCCCCTCAAGTCAATTGGGAGCCATCACGCTACTAGCGTAGTAAGAATACGTTTCCTGTCTGATGAGGCTATTACGAAAAAACAATGTGACAATATGTTCCTCACGAACTGTACTATTTTCTAAGGTCATCAACTATAAATTTTAATGAAATTAGACCTCGACATTCATTTGCACCGTCACTGACGTGATAATGTTTTCAATACTCACGTGTTATTGTTTTTCTTACAGTTTCCATTTTAATAGTTTTTTAAAGGGTTAATATAAATGGATTAATTATTTAATGAAGCCAAACTGTGAGTGTGTATGTTTTATTTTAATAGGTTACGCATCGAATTGCGTGCGATATTTATTGTGAAGAATATTTTAAATGCCATTTCAATTATATACTTAAAAAGCGTTTCTCTGAGGATTATTGGGGGTCCAAGAATTTATAGTCAGTCAAATGATATTATGTGATATGTGAATAACATTTTATGTTTCTGGCAAAAAAAAACAAAAAAAACTACCAGAACTTGTTAAAAAACAACAATGTACTATTTATTGAAGTCAAATTCTATAGTCTAAGCTCAAGCCAAGTTTATTTTGGCAGGGGCAAGTTTGGCAAGCTACCTACTTACTTGCCCCTGGTTTTATGTATGAATGTATTTCATGACTTCGGCAATTAAGTGCAATTTTTTTTCCATCAGAATATGCATGATGCGATACATGAAAACTGAACATTTGTTAAACATACCTGACACAACACTTTGAGAAATAGAACAAATTGTCCACCTCCGAGAAATTGGCATCGTGTCATACGGATATCAAAAACATAAGAGTGCGTTGCTTTCGAATGTGTCAACGCTTCCAAAATACTACGCCGTTGATAAAGAAATGATAAGCCCATCAAACATTAAACAAATATCTTTGAAAGGATTGTAATTTTACACCATTCCAATTTTCAATCAGACGTCTGAGTTTGACGTCACTAATTGCGAAGTACGCCTTATCACATCAGAACCTTCACAAAAGTTGCAGGGGGGTAGCTGATGAAAATATGTTTACATGTGTTTGATTTTAACAGTTCGGAAGGGAACTGATCATAAATGTTATATTATTTTTTTCCAAACACAAAGTTAGTCGTTAAAAAAACATCTTCGATGACAGTAAAAACGTGTCATTTTATGTTTTTCGTTAGTTTTGGATGGCATCCTACGGGCACATGAGCAATCTTGGTCGGAGACTTTTGTCGCCGATTAGACCCATGTCTTGAGTTCAAACGACTGGCACGGGAACACGAGGAGACAAAAATCAAAATCCACCATGTGAATA